TATGAAATTATATTTTTAAATATATACATTAAACCTCCTTGTGTCCATTTCTGCTTGAAAAAGTTTTGTCTTGTGTCGTGTCGTACAGAAGATATTATATAATTCTAGTTATACTTTAAAGATAGGCATTAGGCGGACGGGCAGTGTGGGCCAGGCTTGCTTACTCTTTAGTACTTGTACTTGCTTATTTACTAATAGATAGACAATAGTTACGACAACTCACAATATTATACTTTCTGCGCTTTTTATTCAATTCAATTCTTTATTCAATACTTTCAGGCTTTAATTTTGCCAGCTAACTATGAATTAACGCTTTTTCTTACTAGCGATAGAAATTTCACATATTTTTGTATATATAAATAGCGACTCACCCTGGCTCCGCTCGGGATCGTCCCTACTTACGTTTTAACGTTTAGTATAGATTTCTCAGAGATGAGATATTTTCCCGCAGTAAAAAGTATCCTATATGTTGACCTGGATAACCAGCTATATACATCAAAATCCCTCCAGTGGTTTTTTCCGTGATGCGGTAACAGACTGACAGACAGACAGACAAAAATTCTAAAAACTATAGTTTCGGCCTCTGTATTGATAATAATGACTATTTCAATAAGATTTTCCAAAAAAATATCTAATGTACCAATTCGGCTCAGTTAGAATTATATTATATGTATAGATATATTATATGTATAGATAATATATAATATACTGAATAAAATATGAGTAAATTATAAATCTATATAATAAATAAATAATAATTGACACATATATTAGTTAAAAATAAAATTGCTTGTAGCCTATTTCTTAATACTCCATGAAAAAAACAAAATCAAAAAAGAAGTCGTTAAAATCCTTCTACAACCAAAATTTTTTTTTTTGGAGGGATTAGACGTCCAACTCTTGTTTCTACGAAAGTTTGATAGTGGTAGATGCGATAGATACAATTGTGGATTGATACGGAACATGTCAAAATGGTGATTGTCTAAAAATTACTAACAGGTTGTTTAACAATTTATTGTTGAGATGATCCAACATTAAACGAAAAAAAGTTTAATGTACAGATTCGACTCAGAACTTTATTATATGTACCTATAGATTGTATAGATAACTTCTGTCATTTCAGTACAATTTATAAAATTTCAATCCTTGAATGATTGTATAATGACATTTGGTCTAAATCTAATAGTTTCATTTCCATTTAAAAAAGTCTTGAGTAAATAGAATAAAATCCGTATTATTCCTGACCACTTGAGAACTCTCGTGCCTTCCACACACTATAGGTATATTTGCTAAAAGTAGCATTTGTAATAAAATGAAAATAAAAACGAGTATAACTTATAAACATAAATATTTAACAATTATTTATATTTACGAAACATAGTTTGCGTGACTGTCTGTCGGGTGCACCTGTCGGACGTGGGGTGAGGCGCTATCGCCGTAGTTCACCGAGGGACGCAGCGGATGCGCACGTCACGCGTCGCCGCGTCACGGGCTCGCCTACATTAGCCGACCGATGTTCCCTCCATACACCATACATACAAATGGCAAAAATTACCTATCGATTATGACTCATAAACCGTGATAGTACAATAGTAACGCGCTCGCTAGGTAAACTGGCTAACAGGTTCACCCGCCTTTTTCACCTTCTTCGGATTTTTATCATATAATATTCTCATCTGCTAATCATATTCAATGAGATTAGCAATTGCCTTATAGGGAATGAAAATATCGGACGATATCAACAGTAAAAAGTACATGAGCAATTAGAGTGAAGTGACAACACGCACCCTAGTACTTGTATAAAATTGTAATCGAATCTTAGCCTACTAGCCTTGGTACGTGGTTCCGTGCTGATGACTCCGACATTTAAGATAGGTAACTGAGCACCAGTAATTGGATACTATGTAAGAGATATGTATATTTAAAAGTAGTTATGTAGGTCACTGGATAATAGAAAAGAATAATTGTGTTGTCGAAAACCTGTATTTCCTTGACCGCCGTTAAATTCAATACTCCAAGATAAACGTAAAATCTAAAAGTACCAAATAGTTATTATATTATTCGAAATTGACGTTCCAATGCAGTAATTTTGTACACAATTTCAATGGCAGTACTTGATTGTTGTCCGCTGGTACTGCGGATGTTGCCTCTGTCCTACTTTAATTTTTATTCTTGTTCTACTTTTTTTATTGAATTATTTTAATTATTGCTACCATTATTTTGTTTATGTTACTTTATGCTCATATTGTTTATTGTTATTGCAAATTGAAATGCCCATACATACTATATATATAGTACATAATAGCATTGCCCGCGGCTCCGCCTGTTCAGATGACCAAAAAACCCAATTCTTAGGTTTTACATATTAGTATACCGTGGCTAATTCGTTCATGACTTTAACATTGCAGTTTTTGTATTTTTTCTTAGAAATGAGATATTTTCTCGCGGTAAAAAGTATCCTATGTATTGACCCGGATAACCATCTATCACCATACCAATTTTCATCAAAATCCCTCCAGTGGTTTTTCTGTGATGCGGTAACAGACAGACAGACAGACAAAAATTCTAAAAACTATAGATTCGGTCTCTGTATCGATAATAATGTTTATTTCAATAAGATTTTCCAAAAAATATTTCATGTACAGATTCGGCTTAGTTACAATTTTATTATATTTATGGATATACATACGTATTTCTTTACTATATACTTTTTACTTTTTGGTTCTAGGCTTACTTATATATACGAGTACCATACCTAATAGTTAAGAAAATTATATACAAAAGAAAAAAAATAGTTTTTTTAATCCTTATTCTAATAAATAGATATAAAAAGAAAAATATAATTTATAGTCTATACGATCTTAACTGCAGACTGTAGAGTAATAGTTTTAATGAATAATTGATCATGGTCCAGAGGTTACGTCGGATGTACATAGGTACGTCTTTTAAGGTCTTTGTACTTTTCAACTGTTCTTACTCAACGCTTTTGAGTTGTAACCTTTTTGTTGAATATGTATGTTGTATTTGTAATGGGTCATTTAAAAATATATCGCTTTCTATACTAATATTATAAAGAGGTAGTTTGTGATATTGTGAGTTTGTGATGTTGTAGGGGGTAATCTCTGAATCTATTGAACCGATTTTCAAAATTCTTTTACCAATAGAAAGCCACGTTCTTTCTGAGTGTCATAGGCTATATATTAACCCGAAGAATGAAAAGACTCTTTCATGGTAGTCGGATTTGCAAAGTAAGTCGGAGAAAAAACGGTCGAACGAAAACGTTTCGTACGAACGCTGCCTTAACGATGAGAGATATATGATTATGTTCTAGAAAAAAGTTGTAGAACTTAATAATACCTACAAAAAAGTCAAGGGCAGCATATGTCTAAGTTTTATATTTAAATCACAAAAAGTAGTTTTATATATTAAAAAAATAATTAAATCGGTAGGTCATGTTTATTGGTCATATTATCAACAATTCTGAATTATTATCAAAATAAGTAAATTTATCGTCTAAAATGTTTAAAACAAAAGACTTTTCCCTTTTACTGCATATAATTTGGACAAATGGTTAAAGAGATAATACAACATATTCGTAGGTATGGAACCGCGACCGTGTCGTAATCTATTGAGTGATATTTCTATAAGATGGTTTTTTTTCATATACAATACTAATCCTATACGTCAATCTATCTATACTAATACTAATATTATAAAGAGGTAAAGTTTATGAGTTTGTGAATTGTGAGTTTGTGACGTTGTAGGGGGTAATCTCTGTATCTACTAAACCGATTTATATGAAATTTGTTAAGAAGATAGTTTAAGACCCTGGATAGGACATAGGATATATTTATCCCGGAAATCTATATATTATATATTTTATATTTTTATCCGAATATTTATATCCCAGAATCATCCCTTAAGGGGATGAAAGTTTGTACGGGGAAGTAAGCTAGGGACGAACCCGAGCAAAGCGAGGGTGAGTCGCTAGTATTAATATAAATATAAATTTGGAAATTTGTATGTACATATGTTTGTTACTCTTCATGCTGAAAAGGCTGCATGGGCTTAGATGGAATTTACTAGGTAAACATATTAGGTACTGTTAGGTACCTTAGGAGGCACTCGAGCAAAAAAAAATAATTGTTGTAGACATCTTATCTGCGGTTGTATCTTAAAACAATAAAGGTTTTTAAAAGTGATATTTGAGTGTTTGTTTTGAGCCTGTTAATTAAATTATTTAATTTGAATTATTGGACTTATGTATTTTACAATACTTTCCAAATATTTCGAATTTCATATTAGAACGGTCAATTAGCTATAACTGTTATTTAACGGATGTTGAATGAGTTGTCAGTTTTTTCTGTAATTACGTAGAAGTTTATAGACTAGTAAAGTAAGACTAAGCATCAGTGTGAAATTCTGCGGCCCCGTCGTCTGTTAGTGTCTATGCTCCCAAGTTTTTGCTACTTCTCATACAAAGAGTGTCTAACGAGGATTCCGTTATTTGATCTTTTTATGCCACATTCTATTATATAAGCCAGTGGGTATATCACACGACGCACAAAGCTAATTGCAACTATTGTTGACATTAAATGAGGTGTAACTTGTATATACTATTTATAATACATACTAGAATATCGTTTTAGGGGTTTCATACAGACAGATGGATTAAAATGTAGTGTTAATTATTGTTTCCCTTAATTAGTGTTTTAGTAGACGCATTACACCTTACCTAAAAAACCTAGCATTAGTAGTTAATCAGGCATTACACACTCAAACACCTAGCATTTTTTTATAAACATTAGTTTAAAAAAACATGCTAGGATTTTGAGTTAAGCTGTAATGCCTAGTTTAATGCAATTTTGAAGACTGTTATCGATAAATTAAAATAAATAATCATTTATGTATGACATACCTATGGCTAAGCAATAAAGTTTCAATCATATATTGCTAGTTTTAGTAAGTTTGCTTGTATATTAATGTGGGGTTTGTTTTAGGTTCCAGAAAGAATTGAGCCATGTTCTCAACTTTCGAAGAGTAATCATTTAGAAGCAAGCGGGGAGATCGTGAAATCGCCGGACAAAGTGATAAACAATAACGCTGACATGAGACATACGGAAGTAAACGCGTTAAATATGGAGGTGGACACTTTGCGGTGGCAGTTAGCTCAGGTAAATATATTAAGCATCAACCACTACTATTGTGAAACATTTTTGATTACATTGGTGCACCGATATTGTTTAGAAAGATTTAATGCGTTGCGAAGTTTTTGCGAATTATTGGCTGCCTGCGAATTTAATGTAGTTAAGTATATATTTATTTTTTATTTTACAAATGCCATATGAGCGTAATAATTTTCAGACTGAAGCCAACAGACAGATGCATATAGCTTTGCTTAAGCAAATTGTGACATTTTTGAACAGAGTCAAAGAACATATTGAATGCCAGAAAAATGAATCAGAAATACGACTAGATAAACTATCTCCCATGGTTTTATCGAAGCCTTTAAATATATCTGACTTGCCACGGTCTCGTTCCGTTCTACATGTCAGTAAAAATCTGGATTGTTCAATAAGCTCCACAAAGAAAATGAGTACAAGGAAAATCAGTAAATCGATTAATAACGTTAACGGATACAGAGATTGCAGTAGTATTTGGTAAGTAGTGTTGCACAATGTTAAATTTTAAAAGTTTGTTTCAAAATATATTTAAGAATCCTATTATGTGTAATTTTTAGGAGCCAGTCGAAATTATCCTTTGTTACTGAAGACGAGACTGGGCAAAAGTTAAGTGAGGAGATGTCAAGACTGATCACTCTTGCCAACACGGTTCTTAGCACTAAACTTCCTGATTTAGCGTGCGCGTGTGTCTGTAATCGATCTAAATCTTCTTTACAGTTATCCGAAGACAGCAAAAAAGAAGAAGCGAGTGTACACAATGAATCAGATTCTTTGAACTTAGACTTAAACAGTACAATCGATAACATCGTCCTCATTACAAACTGCAAGACGGAAACTCACAATGGCATTACTAATAAATTTGATGACGTGAAAAATAAAATTTTGAATGATTTTATTGTATCGCAGTCGCCGCTTTGCTTTGGTTTGAAAAACGATTCTTCCGGTGTTAAGCTTTTTGAACAAGAAACTCCCGTTTCACAAAATAGTCTAGTTACAACGTGTGGGAATGTGGGACAAGCAGTTGACAAAAGAAGCGAGTACAATGCCTCATCAAATTTTATAGAAGATGAAAGTGGTTTTTCGTCCATGAGTTCATTTCAAGAGATAGGTATTCCGATCATAAGTATAATTCCGCCGTCGCCTAGCAAAGAAGTGGAGTATTTAGAAGAAATCGCTGCCGAAAATGAAAAATGGAAAGCGGACAACATTGAACTTGATAGCCAAAGTGTCAAAGTTTTTTGGGTTTAATTATTAAGACATGCTTTAACACTACAAATTATTACAATATTTGTAAATTAATTTATATTACGCAAATACATTGTGATTGTATTTTGCAATCAATTCAATAAGTATTTATATGTAAGTATTTATAACACTGTCTACAGTTGGATACTGACGAAACGATGCCGTCTTAGATTATAAATAAAGGCAGATTCTTAAGATTTCTTTTTATTACCTTGTTGCGTAAAACGAAACTTCTAGTCACTATAAATAACCTCATCACAACGTAAACGACCCTGATACCAAAACAAGGCGATTTGAAATATACCGCTTGGCGCTTTCGATAACAACAATTATAAGCAATTATTTTATTTCACATTAAAATAAAATTGTTTTAATGAATAAAACTTAGTCATGTTTTTAAGATATCATAATTATATAGTTATACTCATTTGCTATTACTTCCTTTAACTTCTGACAACATTTTAAGATATGAATATCTAATAGGTTAATATGTATTTTACGTATCGAAATACATTTGATTTACTTTGCATCGGCTGACACCGACTTAGAAAATATCTGATTAGGTATCTATTCTAAATGAAAACTCCCGTTTAGTTATTTTTTACATTTAAGTGCCTATAAGTCGGTTTTTTAAAGTTTTTATGTTATTAAAATTACGCTTTATTATTGAATGAAAACCTAGACTCTACTGAGTAATGCTAGTAGTTAGTGATGCTACAACTAGATAAATATATAAAGAAAGATCAATAACTGGTGCTTTGGCTTCTATATGTATTTACCATACAGTGTTTTCGTTTGATATATAGATTGAGTGGTATTTACATTACTAAGCTAATCTTATGTTTCATGTACGATAAAATTTGTTTAATTGTTTGGTACCTAATCTATTGTTTCAAAATCTAGTAATAGACAGTTATAAGAATAATGCACCTCTTCTCCACTACGCTACTACGCTTTTACGAAAATAATTTCGCATGGTATACACACAGGATAACTGTTATTACACTGACGTGTCATCATGCAAGATTCTAACGAAATTAAATTATTGAGATACGAAATTAATGTACTCCATGGTGACGACGCTTAAGGTGCAGAAATAAATTGAACAATATACAAACTCATAAACAGCCGTCTAGATTAAAAAAATGTCATTATGAAATAAAAATGACAAAAGTCTAGTTTTAGATTATATAATTTCGGCAATAATGAAAAGTATATTTTTTTAAATAAATTTTAGTAAATAGTTAAAAACAGTAATTTTACCAAAATTCGTCGTGACTATGGCTGAAGAGGTAGATGAAAAAGCAAGTGGAGACTTAGTCTCAGTAACCAAGCTTGCCCCTCCTGTGCCAGAACCTGAACCTATTAAAATTCCTGATGTAGAACTTATTGTAGATGGTTTTGGTATTATGCCTAAAGAAAAATCTTTATCTAAATTTGAAATCCAAAGTAAGATCAAAATGAAAAAATCCTCCAAAACCCTCAAAGGTGTAAAGTCACCGGAATCTGAACATAGTCCATGTGCTTCAAGCACGGACATCGACATAGTGAGGAGGTACACGTGGAAAACTAAAAATAGGATGACAGTACAGGTAATAATGTAGGTAGAATAAGGAATGATGGCTTTATATTCCTTATTTTATACTTCTTCGCTTCGTACGGGATAGTAACAGGATCCTACTGGTTCAAATTGGATCAAATTAACCTATACCGCCTGGATAGGTTAGTGGAAACTAGGGCTTATTTAGTTATTAACTCTATATTAATATTCCTCTAGTGTCTTGCCGATATATATATCTACGAGCTCTCTTAAACAGGTGTCATAGACAAGTGTAAAGAATCAAATTCGTTCGATTCATATTAATTTGTAGAGTAAACAGGATTTCATTTGACCTTATAGTAAAACAATGTACTCGAGTTCTAACTTTATCTTTTTGCTTATCAACTCTACTATGCAGGTATCTTGTTAAAAGTATCTAAATACAACTGTTTTAAAATAAATATATTAATAAATTTTGATATTCACAGTCTGCTCACTCACTGAAACAGAAAATCGCAAAATCCTTCTTTTAATTAAAATGTTTTATCTGTTTTTTTAATCTGGATGTAGGTAATAACTTATGGTGCTACACTCACCTCTATTCAAGTGCCTGATAAAAAGGGAGTACCTGACGATGTTTTAGCTGGGTTTGATACTTTGGAAGGTAAATATTTTTGTACCTATTAAAAAAAATTGAATATTTAATTCATATATTTAAATTTTAATTTTATATATTTAAAGAATACTTTCAACCGAGAAATCCATATTTTGGCGGGACAATAGGGCGGTACGCAAACTTCATCCGCGACGGTACCATGGTCGTAAAGCCATCAGGAAGGATGTACATGCTTAGCACTAATAGAGGACAAAATCATTATAACGGCGGGCACGTAGGGTTTGACAAGGTAATAAATTTCTCAACTCTATAACATTATTAGTAACAAATGCACCGGATGACATATGTAGTAGCTATATCTATTAGTAGGTAATAAAAGCTAACTATAAAGATGAAAATAAGTTGACTAAGGAATAAAGTATTATGCAGTCGGAGCCATACTCGTACATATGTAATATATAATATGTATGTGAATATCATACATATACATTTTACGGCAAGGATGAAACGTGTATGTCTCCGACTGCATAATACTTTATTCCTTCGTCTACTTGTTTTCATCTTTTTACTTAGCTTTTATGCAGTCGGGATTTTTATTTTTATTATAGATATTTTTTAATAGATCTATTTGAGCTAATTCTTCTTTGCTAATGAAATCCCAAGCTAAATTTTAATATTTTGTAGTCTTATTTCTTAATAACTATCAGAAAAGTTTATTTTCATTGTATAGAAGTTTTATACTCCAAGAGAAAAAACCTCTCCTCAAGAAGTGGATGAAGATTTGTAATTAGGTATAATATTTAGATTCTTTTTTTATTTTTTTAAAGCATTTACATAAAAGTAGCCTTTGTCTATTTATTATATTCCATCCAAGTCAGTTCAGCCGTTTCAGCGTGAAAGAGTAACAAACATATATAAACACACGCGCATTTTTCTATTTATATTTTATAATAAATAGTAGATACAGTCCAAATAAATTTTCCAATCATAGGTCAACTGGCGATCGTACGTTACTGGGAATAAAGTTATCATGAGCCATATATCTGAACGGTTCCACGAGGGCTATCCTGGTACTATTATGGCGCAAGTCTCTTTTGAAGTCACTTGTGATAATACGATTAAGATTGAAATGAGATGCACCACAAGTGAACCAACCATCGTTAACTTGAGTAATGCTTGCTACTTTAATCTAGCCGGCCATGTGAGTGTACTTGTAGTTATGATAATAATAATTATTAAACATTTAATTACTGTTTCTAAGCAAAATATGTGATATTATAAATTTATTGTTTAATTCAAAGATTTTGTTTATATAATTATTCAGAGATTAAAATTTAATTATTATAAAATCCTGTTGGAAATATTTGTCAGTGCCTTCTTTAGTGAATACATTGGGTTCGATACTTGTAGAAAATAAAAGATAACATTGTTCCTCTCACTGAGTAAAACTATTGACGTAGGAAGGGAGAACTCCCAAATGTGAATTAATGAACTAGCACTTTAATGTAGTGGTGTACATTACACTGTAATTTTTTTTGAATTTAATTATTTACTTTTTTTATGAAAACTGTATTAAAAAAATATTTATTATATTTCAGCATGCCGGTTCAGAAATAATGTACGACCATATCTTTACGATAAATGCGGATAAATATACTGCAGTCGATGACGATGGACTTGTCACAGGTAAAAAACTAACTAACTATTTATACTTTATCTATGTATATATATTATGTATATTGTAATATATAGATTAAACAGTAATTTTAAAAAAAATGACTTAAAAAAAACTTGAAAAGGATGAAATAGGTAATAAGTATTTTATATATACACTAAATTAAGCAAGTTATGTTCTTCATGCGATTTCATTTCTTTTTGTAAATAGTTCGCCTTTTTTCTTTACTGGTACTATTTCTTGTGCTTTTACCTAACTCAATTTTGCCTTATATAAGATGACGAAGATCTCAAACTCATCGCTTGGCTTTACCACGCTGCGCTGACTTATAAGTATAATATATTATTAAAGGAAACATCGTTCGTGACTTACTGTACTATATATCCACTATTTACCTACCCATGCAAACTGCAAAAGGAACTTTGTAATCGCATATCTGGCATATCTATTTATATGGGATTACAAAGTTACTCGTTAGTTAAAGAGTTACTCATGCAATTCGTTGTATTTGAAATTTGAAAAGGGGACTGGAATTGCGGGATGTTCTAGGTTTTTCTTATTTTATAGGCTAAACATTAATTGTTTTCAACATTTGAAGCTCGTGTGTCTGCTAAAAGTACCTTAGAATTTTGATGATCTGTGAGTAACGACGAAATTAAAGAAAGTTGACCTACAATAGCGCTCAAACTTTAGGTTCAAATTGAATGTATTTTGGGAACATATCTAGTTATATTATGTCCTCTTAGTCACTATAAATTCAGGCTTCTAGCATTTTCAACAACGAAGTTAGAGCGGGGTCGAAAATGTCCTGAATGGCTTTGAGAAAGGATATTACGACTGTGCCCTTTTTTGCCGTGTCCCTAAATAAAAAACCTAATAATCTTCCAATTTTGTGATAACACCCTCCCATCTATTCAGACAATCGCTATTTATACAATATTTTACGTTATTAATTTTATGTTTACTATGCTTTTATTTCAGGCGAAAAGAACATAGTAGGGGGTACGCCATATGACTTTAGGGTGCCGCGAGTTTTACGAGCTATGCTTCCTAAAATACCCATGGGCGGATACGACATTAACTTTTGCGTTACGCAAGGCACAGAACAAGACCTTACTTTTCAAAGTCGGTTAGTAATCCATACTAATAATACAAGTAACTCTGTCTGTCTACCTGTTACTTTGTTGATCTTAAACTGCTAAACAGATTTCAATGAAATTGGCAACGATATATAGATTGCATCATAGGGAAATATAAACGCTTCAAGGCATGTTGTTAATAGAGCGGCTATATTAATAAATTTTCACCTAATATTTTATTTTCATTAACATAATTTATGGTTGCAATATTAAGAAATTGCATTGAAAGGGTAAATTAATCAAAATTATAACTGTTTTCATATTATATGCGAATTAATTTTGGTAGTTATTTGTATGAATGTGAATGTGAAAGTTTAGATGGATGTTTGGATGTTTGGCTGAATGGATCTGGATGTTTCGCACAGAGATAGAATATAGTCTGAAATATTACATAGGCCACTTTTTATTCCAAAAAAATGTTGTTATAATTATTAGTTCGTTTAGCGTGTTATTTAAATATCGGCATTTAGTGCAACTTTTATTATTGTAAGTAGTTAATAATATATAGATTTATATATCACAATCTTTGCATTGGATACCGTATCCAAAATTGAAAACAAAAAAATGAAAATTATCTAATATTGATCTTAGCTGCTTTGAGAAGGGAAAAAAATGCTCATAAAATTCAATGAAAATAATGTTTATTTTCAGTGTACTTCATCCCGTATCAGGAAGAGTTCTAGAGGTTTATAGCAATCAGCCTGGTATGCAGTTCTACACCGGCAATCTACTTCCGGATCCCGACAAAATTGTTGAAGTGAGTGATTTAATGCTGTGATAGTGCCATACATATGCGCAAATATGCAACACTTTAAAGTCATAAGGCGGGCGGGAGGAACTGAGATTATATACAAATCTTAGAACAAATATTTGCATTTTCGTGTTTTTTAACATACCTCACCCTTAGTCAACGTTTTAGTTCCTCTAAATCAATTTTATAAAATGTAATTTGAAAACATCTTTGGCCATAAGTGGGTACAAATAGACATACAGACAAAAATGGTTATGGTATTTAGTCTTTTTTAGTGGATAAATAATCATATGAGCATAATTTGGATAGCTTGCGTAACTTATACGTAAAGACTCCTAAAGACACTTAATATTTGTTCGATAAGCACATTGGTTGGGATCCATCTCTGAGTAACAATTTACAAATTGCTCAAAATCGTCACCGGTTAAAGTGAAGGAACTTTGGATATGTCCAAAATTAAATGGAACTATAAAATGTGGATGGGCAAAGAGACTGTGCTGTTGGCTAACACTACTGACGGTCTGCTTTCTCAACAGTCTCAACATGTAACCTTAGATAAATGGTGTCTCGTGTACCACATGATGGTTCGCCACAAATTAGTTTCATGCCTCAGATGCAACTTTCGCATAGGCCGCTAAGGGTATTGGAAGTGAGCATCGGTTTCGCCACCGCGAGAAAGCTAGCGCTGAGCGGGTTTTGTCGTTATTACGAGAACCTAGCCTTTTCACCCTGTGAAGCATATAGTTCTTTCACTCCACTGCTATCAACTAAAGAGGCGGAGATAGGTGGATAGATTAATTTAACACCCAGGCATTACGGCTTACGATAGATAGGTTGGATCCTCAGTTCGATATAATAACGAATATACAAATTATATCTATATGTTAACACTTGAAGCAAAAACTTTGTACCCCTTTTACGAAAATTACGCGGACGGAGGAGTATTCAATTTCCCACACTTAAAGTTTATGTAGAGAAGGAATGCAGAATGCTAATATTTTTTTAAAATTATGCACAATAAATACATTAAATCAATAAATAAAAACTTTTTAACAAAAAAAATAAAAACTGACTTCAAACAAAAGCACTAAAAAGTAAAAAATTACTGATTGGTAATTTTCATTTACTATACATACCTAATCAAATATTTTCGAAGTCGCCGTGCTTTGCTTTGTATGGGCTGGCACCGATTTCGAAAATATTTGATTAGGTATGTATTTAATAGGTAAGCTTTAATTACTTAGCCAAAGCACACCGACTTCGAAAATATTTGATTAGGTATGTATAGTAAATGAAAACTACCAATCAGTTATTTTTTACTTTTTAGTGCTTTTGTTTGAAGTCGGTTTTTATTTTTTTGTTAAAAAGTTTTTATTTTTCCCTTTTTAGTGTAGACAGTAGTAGCATAGTAAGGATTCTAACGTGTTAGACTTGTCAAATCAAACAAAATAAGCCCAAATTCAAAGTATCTACTATTAGCCGTTGAAGAGTTCCACCTATCCACCTTCTGGCCTTGCCATCAGATCAGGTCAACAACACCGAACCACTGTACTATCAACGGAAATAGAAATACTTGCAAAGTTTCAAATCAATATGACTTTTTGAAGTCGGTTGAAAAAAAGATTACACACACTATCATCTATTTACCACACGCACGCACATCTTTTGTTTATTGTTAAAGTCTGTGGTCAAATTGAGAATTATGTATTAATACGTGAAGCAAAAATGTTTTCTCCTTTTTAAAGAAAATTACGCGGACGGAGGAATGTGTTTTACACAGTTAAAGTTTATATGGAGATATAGTGTAGAAAGCGAATATTTGAATATAAAATACAATTAGAAATACATTAAATTTATTAAATCCGTTTATCCGTTCTGATATGAAATGTATTATTGATTAGAATCCTGAGCCTGAGGAAGAGGAAGAAGGGAAGTCTGAGTCTGAAAGTAGCAGCGAGAGTGAAATGAGCAGCGACGAGTCCAGTGTGAAAGAGGAGGCGATTGAAGAAGAAAGTAATGAGAAAGAGGAAACAGATGTTAGTTTGAAATAATATTTAAACTCCTTTCTACTAAACTTACGTTACAAGTATACGACAGTATTACGACATTAAAAGTAAACTATATCACTCTCAATACAATACAAATATTCTTTATTATACACCAATATCTTACGTTACATAGTTGAAACAAATTAAAGTAAAAATAGCACGATAGGCGGTCTTACGCTAGAGAGCGATCTCTTCTAGCCTAACTTTTGGGTAGAGAGAAAGCAGGAGAGAAGGAAGTGCCAAAAATCTTAAGGAGATCTACAAATTCACTTTCATTTAACTTTACCGGCCAGTTATCCTTTAAGTCTAGTCAAATTCGTAGCTCGAACTATTTTCCCATATTTTATTTACTCCGATTACTCTTATAAAGTGAGTTGTAAAGAAATGTATCCTATGACTTATGAGTACATCTTGGTAGACTCGACAGCGAAAACCTTGTTATAATGGGTTATCCCTTTCTTGAGAATAGAGGTACAAACAGTAAAAAAGGCATGAGATTTTTTTTGTATAAAACTAGTAAACCTATGAACTCTACATGGGGTAGCTATGTTAAAATATAAATATATAAAATTTATTGTATTTACTTGTTGAATAAAAGCTTTTTACTCTTTGTATGCTTAATAAAAAATATAATAATATAATATAATCATATATTATTATAATTTTTTGTATTTTATTTTGTATACCATATATTTTATGGTACAAAATGAATAAATAAAATAAATAAAAATAATTATTGTCCTTCATACATTGTTTTTGTTTATTTGCTTAATATCATAATTTCATATTATATTTGAAGTCACAATAAACTACAAAGAATTATTTGTCCATCGCTCACTAATTAAAACAATTTTGTCAATTGAGGAAAATAGGTTTAATAGGTCAGTAAAAGGTTTGCGATTAGCGTAGCTTATAACAAAAATCATTGAATCATTTATTTTTTTTTCTTTTAAAGGGTAAAAAGAGCTATGGGTACGTGCCATTGATGGGAAAGCAAGGAACATGTTACAAAAAGCATGGCCTCTTCTGCCTCATGCCTCAAAACTATCCGGATGCCGTTAATCATGTAAATATAATAATACTTTAAATTTAATGGCTGAAATATATTATTTATAGATATAGTTTGAAATTTAGTTATATATTTAAAAAGTCCTAATCTTAAAACTAATATAATGTTACATTATTTAAAGGTATAGAAATTTACACAGTCCGTCAATAGATGGCGCTTGTTGGTCTTACTTTATATTATATGAATGTTTTTTATAAGTAATGGTTGAACTTTGAATTTAATGACTTTACGAACTTCGACTTATTATTTTAAATTAGCTATTTAATTAATATACTTCTTACAATGTTATGTAATGTTTTTTTCTTTATTACAGAAAAATTTCCCTACATCGGTTTTAAACCCCGGGGAAGTCTACGTTCATAAAATTCAATACAAATTTGGTATTCTGCTTGGCAAATATGTATGATATATGTATGTGAATATTTTTGGGGCGTTGTGGATGTTTATTAAATCGTCGCTAAAAAAATTGGACGTCACGTGAAGTTAACGTTATTATTATAACAATTATAGGAAATTAGATGACTCTTTTTCTTATCAACAATGAATCACGAGGACCACGAACGAAATAAAAAATATGAAAATAACATTGATAATAAAATGGCTATTACTTTAAAACAAGTCTCGTCTTAGAGAGTTTTTAAAAAAAATAAACTTTCAATGGAAATAAAGATACTGTATTCCTAAATTATAATTCAGAATATATTTCATCTAACTCAGCCACACCCTGTTCTTCGCTGTTCACATTTTTACGAGCAAGAATTTTCTTGAAAAGGTTATTATGAGTACCTTAAATACTTTTTACGTAAGATGATAGCTAAGCGTATCATACTATTATGTTAAAAATCTTAGACTGAGGAATAACATAGACCAGTGTCAAAGAATTAAACATGATGCCAAACAATAATGTTTTTAAATGTTATATAATATTTTAAAATAATATACGAATGACAATTTGTATACTGAGTGATAAGTAAATAAATAAAGCTAACAGATTTAAATATAATAAAGAAAAAAAAGTTAAATACGCTAGTATTATACTATACTATCCCACTATCTTTCAAGGGGATGAGAACTAATGCACAAGTACGTTCTTTGGTATATTTAAAACGACTAATATAATTTAAATAAATATATTTAAATCCTTTTTAGGGTTCCGCACCCGAAGCGAGCCAACGGAACCCTATTACTAAGCCTCTGCTGTCCGTCCGTCTGTCAGAGGGATGTATGTCATGAACCGTAATAGAGAGCTGAAATTTTCATAGAGTGTGTATTTCTATTGCGGCTATAATAACAAATTATAAAAAAAACCAACATGGCGAATTTCAACAAGGCTCTCATGTAAATTAGAAAAATCGATTATGGCACGGAATCCTTCGTGTGGGAGTCTTTATTGTTCATTATTGTCCTACTTAGGGATATTATTATTTATCCTCTAATATATTTATCTTTTGCAGATAAAGATGATTTAACGTCAGATGTCGAATCGCCTTTTTTACTAGCATTATATTCCCGAATAGTAAGTTCCCTTTTTCTAGATAACTTTTAGATCGTCCTATGATAATTATTAAAATTATTTTGGACGGTCGCCTGTTAAAACAACTTCAAGCTATAATTATATGACTAAAAACTGAGCTTGTACATATTATAAAGAAAGATGATTACGCCGATAAGCTCTATTAAAAAGCATGTGTTTTTAAATTAATTATTATCACAAATTCTACTAACAACTGTGTTTTTTTCAAATATTACGTCATCAAACGTGAAAGAACGTCTTCAAAGTTCCTTAAGATTACTTATTAGCAAAGATAAAAAAGAAAAAGCGATAAAAGTGTATTTATGTTTAAAATGAAGTGAGCATATTAAAAAATATGTCCGAATCATGCCACTATATTGTCAAGTATTTTGGACTGAACATGACGTATTTTGTACGATAGTTAAAATGATTTTTTTATCATCTTGATTATGACTTTGTTATTAGATGTACAAATAAAAATGGTACAATGTTTAATAGATTTATTATTTAACATACCTATATTATATAATATGGTAGTATATAAGTAAATAAACTCTTTACTGGAATAGTTACATATGTACATACAAATCATAATAACAAGTGAACAGATTACAGCTTCTATTTTTTAAACAATTTTTATGTTATCTTTATACTGAATTTAGCTATTAAGAAAATTATACTTCCACGTATAAATCTTTCTGAAAACTGACCTAAATATCCTATGATGGGAGGTTTCAAGTTAAAAAATGATTCCACTCGCCTTATGGTGAAGAAATACATTGAGGTGCATATCTGAGAACCTAAATTAGATTTCAAAAGACGTGTTGTTCGCCAACTAGCACTAGGATGGGGTGGTGGATTGTGGTCTAATCCTCCTCGCATTGATAGAGGCCCATGCCTAGCAGTGGGACGTTAAAAAGGGCTGAATAAACATACATACATTTATTACCTACCTACGCCGACCTAATGCGGATTGGCGATCTTCACATATCTTTCGAAAACTTGCTAGGTTCTCTTCGATATGCAGGTTTAATCACGATGTTTTCCTTTACGCATAAAAACCAAATGCTTAGGTTTTACTTATTAGTGTACTCGTACAATGCAGTTTTTGTATATTTTCTCAAAAATGAGATATTTTCCAACGGTAAAAAGTATTCTATATGTTGACCCGGATAACCAGCTCTCATTATACCAAATTTCATCAAAATCTGTCACAGTGACAGACAGACAAAAATACTAAAAACTATAGATTCGGACTCTGTATCGATAATTATGTCTATTTCAATTAGATTTTCCACAAAATATTTAATGTACAGATTCGACTTAGTTACAATTGTATTATATGTATATATATATATACTTATTATATAAGCATAAATACATAAATACAAGTATAGATATATACGTAGTTCAAGATTGAGCTAGAAAATGCTTTTTCATGATGGCTTTAAACGCATCTGTAGAAGGGCTCTCGTGTAGGATTTTAGGCAATTTGTTCCATAACACTGCAGCACGTTCCGAGAAAGAGTTTTATAAAAACTTGGGTGTTATCATATTGGGTGTTGGGTTCAACCGGGCACGAAGGTATGAAGGAAAATTGTGATTATGAAGAATATTAAAGAGGAACGAAAATATCAGAGGTGTGAGACCCGGACCCAATCTGCTTTACTCGGTGTACCAAGCGAGCGCCCTATCGCTGGGCCACCAGTGAAGTGCCACGGTAGTAAAAGATGAAAAAATATCAGATTATTTAATATAAAAACGGGTATTAGTTACCCCGCAATGCAGTTATACTTTTCGCCACCTTTCCTCTGAAATAATAGTGTGGATGTTCTTAAGAAATGCATTTTTGTACGCAGATTAGTTAATGAACCTATCATGTTTATTTTAGTCAAGGTAAATATGTTTTGCTAACATTGCATAAGAATATACGTAACGTGATTAAGATTTAAAAATTCGATAACAATTTCGAACCATTTTCTTTAAAATTTCACAAATGTTGTTCTATCATTATGAAGTAGGTACCTACAATTTTTTTATGTAGAAATAATATAAGGCGAGATGATTAAATACTTTATTTCCGTTATGGAATGCTAGTAGTTCCTTTCACGAAACGATACAACATAACTAATAATAAGTCTCTATATAATAATCATTGTGTTTTCACCAAATTTTAATGAATAATTGCCAGGGTTCTTTAATAGCAATGAGGAGTGGATGAAATTTTGATAATAATTTTCAATTCAGTTTGTCTCAGCCATTGTTAGATTTATTGTAAAACAGGATCATTTTTTAAATTTCAATTATTATCCAAGGGATATTAAAAAAGCAAAATATTTTAACTCCTCTCTCTCCACACAATTACTACTGCAAAATAGTACACGTGTAGAATTTCACTTTTCTAATTATATTTCGGTATTGAAAATATTTCGAAATTTTTTTAGATCTGCTCTACAGATTGAATATTCTTTCATCATTTTTTAAATTTATACTTCTTTTGGCACGTTTGGAAAAAAATATAAAAGTAAAATTTTTACGATGCGCGCGCACACCGACAGTCAAAAAGCGACATGATAAAGTTAGCTGCACTCCTTTTACAGAGTTGCGACATACGGTTCATAATTTATGGTACACAATTAGGTTTTTTTAGTGTCTTGAACATATCCCAAAAAAACGGAACTATGATTTTACATACATAATATATTATGTAGTCGATGATCTCTATGAAAACGCTTAAATACGCGTCAGTTTGATCTGTCCATTCTATCAAATTATTATCCAATCGTGAGCACTTTAACACGCCTGGTATGGTCACAGACGTGAGAGAAAGTACTTGTTCACACGAGATCGATCCTACAGAATAGTTGTATTATGTCATATATTAAGTAAGATGAAAATATGAGTTTTTAAAATTATATCTCGCATTTTTCCTTATATTCAGCCACAATGTAAATGAGGGCTTTGACATCATGAGATAAAGTATGACCCATCTTTGAATATTTTATCTCTTGTGTGTATGACGTATACAATCTGGTATAACTAACATGCGTGTCGCGGATATGAATTTCCTATGCAAAGCAAGAAGATGGAGACTGTCCTGCCCTGTGGTTTTTTCAAGCACCAACCTAAGAAGCTGTATAGCGCTCGCAGTTACACATATATAATTTCTTCAGGGCTGCAAATACACACATGAAATGCCTTGTCCTAATTATTTTTTATTATGCATTTTGTATAGTGTACCAATTTCTGCGATTTCCTAGTCGGCTATTGGATAGCACTGCGAAATTTTTCCATAGAGTATTTTAATATTTTTTAATTTTTATTTTTAGTTTCATTTCTACGTACCTGACTCTATCTTGTAAAATAAATGCGTAGACAAATTGAGATATACGATTTCTGCCTTAACATTTAAATAAAACTTAAACAATAAGTATTCCTACGAAAAATGCGACGGCCGCGTGCAACGTTACGGCCAGACCTATATTTATGTACTGTTGTTTTGCGTGTCAATTATTGAAAACTTATTTAGACGAATAATCGGTTAATTATTTTTTTAAATTCAAACATATTATATAATAAATATAATATGCTTGAATTTAAAAAAATAATTAAATATTTATGTATGTAATCTGTGTTTAAGATAATAATGAAAGATATTAAGAAGAAGTATTTCATAATTTTTGTATGATTTTTATTACTTAGATACTTTGTTACTAGCAAGGTATAAATATTACGAAATACTCTTCAAAAAATCAATATTAATACCTAGTACTCGTATTGCTGGTAAAATTTAATATGAGACTTATAGTATTGCTGATATAAATTTGATATAACATTTAAAATTTTGATAAGTGCAAGCTATAATTGATTTCTAGCAATAAGTTTAAGAA